ATACAGGTGGCATGACTTATTGACTATTGCTTTACTTATGCCTACAGCACAAGTGAAGACAATGGGACTGCTGTTGGAGTAAGGAGCCATCCTGCATGAGCTGAGTGCTATATGCATTTACCATATTTACTTGCATATACGATGAGAGTCTCCCAACAATCAGCATGGGGGGAAAAGCCCCATGTCGTATATTCACATACAAAGTGGATGGGGGAAAAGGTCGTTGCTGTAGCTTTGATTGCGGCCCTGAGCACCTCCCTGTGTACATTTGCCCTCTGCAGCTTCTGCCCCCCTTTACTGTCAGGTGCAGCGTGGCTGCATTGCACTTGTGCCAACACTGCTGCATGGACAGGCAAGGGCTGAGCCTCCATGTGCTCAGGGACGCAGAAGCCCGAGCAGCATCTGACGGTAAGGGGCAGAGACTGCAAGGCATGAGGGGAAGGGGCAGAGACTGGGAGGAGTTTGCAGGCAAGATGTAGAGATGGAGGGGGGCAGGAGGGAGGGGCAGAGGCTGATGGGAGCTGGGGCTGTGGTGGTGCACACGGCAGGAAGGCTGCAGAGGGAAGAAGTGAGCCGGGCAGAGGGCAAGGGGCCACCTGACCCCTCCTTGCCACTGCCTTCCCTACTTTAGCGAGGGGGAGGGGAGGATGCTAGACAACCCTCCAATACTTAAGTTCTACACCTGGAAAAATACAATACATTTATACATTTTCCATATATCGAACCTAATTATTTGGGGGGGGGGGTTGTCTTATATTCAAGGTCATCTTCTATTTGAGATAATATGGTAGTCACTCTCTGAGGTAACACACTAATGAACGGTCCCTTAACGTTGCAATTAATCAGGTATCTGTCTTTGATCTCTAATTTAAATGGTTCTACTATAGGTTTTTCTTGATCATAGAATCAAAGGACCACAAGAGACCTGCAAGGTCATCACGCCCGGTCCCCTGCCATGGGGAGGAGATAACTGGGTTCAAACGAGCTCCGCGAGGTGCTTGTCCAGCCTCCTCTTGAACACCTCCAGGGATGGCGACTGCCCCAGATTTTGGGAGTGTTCCAGATTTTGGATACCCTTACAGAAAAGAAGGTTTTCCTTATGTCCAGCCTACATTTTTCCTCAATTAGCTTGTGCTCATTGGTGCTCATCCTGAAAAAAGGGTGCCTTCCTGAAGAGTTGCCCGCCTAGATCTTGGTGCTCACCCCTGACGTACTCTTAGGTGACTATCAAGTCACCTCCCAGTCTTGTTTTACTCAGACTGAACAGACCCAGTTCCCGGAGTCTCTCCTCATAGGGCCTATCCTCCATGCCCCTAATCATACGGGCGGCCCTTCTTTGTACTCTCTTGAGCTTATCCGCGTGCTTCCTGACACGCGGCACCCAGAACTGGACCCAGTACTCCAGCTGTGGTCTCACCAGCACCGAATACAGAAGGAGAAGCACCTCCCTGCATCTACTGGCAACACATCAGCTGATGCACGCCAGACCTCTATTTGCCCTGCTGGCAACTTCATCGCACTGTTGGCTCATGTTCATCTTCCAGTCGATTAGGACCCCTGGGTCCCGTTCAGATGCTGTGCCAGCCAGTGGCCTACCACCCATCGTGTAGTTATGGTGAAAGCTTTTCCCACCCAGATGAAGAACCGGGCACTGATGGGGCGGATCCCCAGGGGGTGCAGTGGCACGGTTGCACCCTTCTTTTTGGACCATGTCATGGGAGCAGCAGCCGGGGACTTTTCTTAAGACCTGAAACAGATAAAAAGCCACCCCAGCCCCACTCTCAGCATGCCTGCATGTTCAGCAGCATCACCCTTCTCCCCTCCCTCCCTCGCCCACCACTCACTAACCTGGGCATGGGGCTTGGGGGGGCGGGGGGGAGCTCCAGAGCTGCTCCTGCCCTGCTCCAGCTGGGTTGCTTGACTAGGGTGGCGGTGGATGGTTTCGCCTTCCCTGTCCAATCCCCAGGTGTTACCTGTCTGCCCAGGAGTAGAAACCCACCTATGACTGCTATGACAGTCCATGACTAAGCTGGGTCCCCGTGCAGCCACCTCTTCCAGCCCTGGAGCAGGAGCAGGGCAGTGAGCAGGCCTCCCTGTGCCCAGAGATGTAGGTAGGGAGGAGAGTGGGGGGGAGGAGGTGGGGGAGGGAGGATGTGCTGCTACTGCAGAAAGAGACTTTGGCAAGTGCATGGTTAAAATACTGGAGCTACCACACTAGCTTTCTGCACTAGTTCTCTTGCTACATGTCTGGGGTCATAATATCATAGTACTTAGGGTTGGAAGGGACCTAAACAGATCATCAGGTCCGACCCCCTGCCCTGGGCAGGAACTGGTGCTGGGATCATATCCCCCCAGCCAAATATCTGTGCAGCCTCCTCTTGAAGACCCCCAAGGTAGCAGAGAGTCCCAGGGGTCAGGGGAAAGGGTAAGTGTTGGTCATGCAGCACCAGGAGAAATCCCATTCGAATCATTCAGCATGGTGGACTGCCTATGACCAAACTTCCTGCCTTGGAAATGCTGGGCCTCACGGCTCATGAAATCAGCCACGGCTCCAGCAGACTCCCAAGACAGACGTGCCCATGAATCCTACCACGTACCCCTGGATCCTAAAGTGAGGCTGCTAGGAGAGGAGAGGCTAAGTGAAGAAAAAATCTTTTTCCTCCCTTCTCTCAATTTCTTGCATCTAATACATGTTTTGGGGTGTACCCTGTTTTTTTTCTGTCCCCGCCCCCCTTTTTCCCCTCAATGGGGAAAAGAAGGGAGGTTACCAAAGCAGTAGGAAAACCCCACTTATAAACACTTTCAACTGTTTTCCTGAATCAAAGGGGTGCAATACAAGTCATTCTTTCCAAAGTTTGCTGCCTGTAAAACAGCTGCAAGGTGGAGAAAGAAACCCCTGGCTTCCAACCAAGACATTTCAAGGCCCTTTGCCTTTATTTCCTTCTTCATTTAGACAAACGCTTAGATAACTGATGCTCCATGACGAGATGTGTCAGATGAAGCCATATTTGCATATCTAAAAGAAGTTTTTACGCAGAAGTAAAAAAAGGGAGAAGCTGACCTAATACAAGGCCCTTCCCGAGGAAACCATTTTGGAAAGAATGAGAGAGACTTAGCAGGACACTCCTGTCCCCTTCTCCCTCTCCCTCCCCAAGTTTGATTTTTTAATATCCGCCAGGAATATCACACGTCAAACGAAGCAGACGGTGTTTACATTTACACAGATTAATTGACAAGTCTCCGTGGGAAGTATGCGCACGGCACCAGTCCCCTTGTTAGGCATCCATCCAGGTCCGGTTAGCTGACTTCAAGGCTGCCAGCGTGCGTAGGTCCCTGCTGGACGTCCTCATGTCTGTATAATGAGACATGACTGCGTTCATGGAGCCACACGCCCGCCTGCTGCAATCCGCCTGACTTCACGGAGCTTACGGCAGGCACAGATTTGGCCCAGGCTGTTTTAAAAACAAAAGGCGGTTGTTAAGCTATTGGAAGAGGTGACGGCTGCCAGCTCGAGTCTTGCAAGATGGTTAGTTAATCAGTTCCCACTAAAGGAGCAGAGGGCAATGGACCCTTTCGTAGATTCATACCCGGTATCCGTCTCGAGGGTCAGACCGTCCACATACAATCTGGTGCTTCTTGGGGTTACAAGGCTAAGTTGTAAGCAGCCCTCCTCCCAGTGGTGTCCTCTGCCTCTTGGCATCGAGCGCTTGATTTTTGTTTTCCTTGCTGAGAACAGCCTGGAGACCAAACGTGGTAGGGCTCAGCTGCTGCACGGCTTGTGTCTGAGGAGATGGAGAGGGGATGGGATGGGAGGGGATGGGTGGGAACATCCTCATGCCGCCGCCTGGGTTTGAGGCCCTGATTCTGCGCTCAGCACAAACCCCACTTACCACAAGGAATTTATTATGACAAAGCACCAGTGAAAGATGCTGATCTTTAAATCATGTTCACCTCCCAGCAGTAAGGGAGCAATACCATCCATAGGGTGGTTGCACAACTGGCCTATTTTGGATACAGCTGCAGGAACTGCATGCAAATTCTTCTTCGTTACCTGCATACAGGAGGCTGGTTAGGGGCCATCTACACTCTAAACAGGCTGTAAATGACCCATGTGGGATAAGCACACTGTGTTTGGTTTTCCTATTTTGCACTATGTCTTTGATAGATAGCACATTTACAGAGAGCATGCAAATGCTTCTGACCAGAGTGCCCTGGGCTCTGCTGCACCGTGTATCTGCAGTGACCCAGCTCCGAGGTATTCCAGGGGTGCTCCTGTAGGTTCCCTCCATTTTTGTTCTCAAAGCCAAAGCATCCCAAACCCATCTGTAAAGGCAGGAAGAGATTAACGGCTCTCTTTGTACTACTGGGATGGGAGCGCCATGCAGAAACGATTGCACCATTCTTCTCTGCTGGTCGTTTATTAGAACGGAGCACTGCTGAAAGACACCAACATTTAAATAGTATTCACCCTCTAGTGGCAAAAGAGCCGAACATCCATAGGATGGTATCACAACCAGGCTGAGGCTGTATGTGAACTTGCTATAGCTGTGGTTTTCAACTTTTTTTCATTTGCAGACCCATAAAGAATTTTGAATGGAGGTGCGGACCCCTTTGGGAAGTTCGAACAAAGGTGTGGACCCCTTTGAATTGCAAGTGCGGGTATTCACATACTTTTGCTTGATCACAGTCATCTATCACAGACCCCTTAGACACAGTCTGTGGATCCCTCGGGGTCTGTGGACCACAGGTTGAAAACCACTGCATCAGAGCACTAGTGATGGCTAAAATGCCCTGGGAACATTATTTATTTATTTTTTTAAGAGAATTTTTTGTGTTCTAAGCCAAATCCGCCAAATCCATGAGTCAGTCAAGAACCATAAGTGGCCCTACTACTGGCAAACATCCTCCACCCCCATCTGAGGCTTCAGATGTTTCCAAATCCTTTGGCGGGCCTCCTACATGCAGGCCTAAGCCCAGAGACTTGGGGTTTGGATGCCCCCGAGTTTTGTTGCTATGTCCTCTTTCCCACCCTTTGTCTAACTTCTCTAGTCACCCTGTGAGCTTGCCCAGACAGGCAGAGTCAGCACGTATGGGAGGGCCAATAGGGTTCAGCTGAATTCTTCAGCCAGCATTCACAAGGCCAGCATGCACATGGCCAGAGGGATCCTGAGTCACATTGGAAAGCTTATGATGTACTGTACATTCGCAGGGCAATGCCTCTGGGGCCATTGCATCTATTCAATCCTTCTCTTCCAGAGACATCATGTAACCTCAGTGTCTAGCTCCACCCAATGCCTACCCCATCCTTCTGCCCGACCTCAGACAAACATGCCCTCTCCATCCATTTTGTGGTCTACTTGTTCCATTAAGCAAACGA